ACGGTCAAATCGTGCCATGTGGACCTGAAATGGTCAGTGGGAGGAGTGAGAACCAGTAAGGTCCTATATCTCTGTGTCCAGAAAGGACTCTGCTACCTCCTTTTTACCCCTCACAAACCTACCTTCTGAAGCAGAAATGGACTTCAGAAAACATGACAGGTTTTTATATAGACAACTGAGATCTGTGTCATAGTACAAGTTTGAAACACAGATGATGCAGAGAGGAGGTGGGACAACAACTGGCTGTACAAATCCTCAAAGGAACTAACAGAAGGATACTTTCTGATGGCTGGAAAGCTCTCATTTATGTATTACAAGAAAGAAAATAACAAGTTTCATGTTGCATTTGAATTAGAAACAAGCCAGAATCACTTCTTCATTCCAAAAACAATTAACTGCTTAAAGAAAAGCAAATTGAACTGTTTTCTTCCCACACTGAACAAAGGAAGGAAGCGAAAAGAAAAAAAAAATCAATGATATTTATAACAAGTAAATAACAACACATATTTATTGGTGAACTATACCTATTTCCTGCAAAATGTTTTATGACTCAAGTTTTATAACATCAGAGGTAATTAAAGACAGTCTAGTTTCTAAAAAACAATCTAACAATATGAGCATACTACTTTATTCATATTGAATGGTAAAAATCAATAAAAGAAGTCTGTCACTGAGGATACAGAGCCGAAATGAAATTTAGTACAATGGGTTTCAGATTCAATGGAATTACTCAGCTATCTGAAAGCTTTTTGGTTTCAATTTTCTTCTCAGTTCTAAGTAAGACCTAACACAGTATGCATCATCAATGAAAAATACCTTTAAGCCTAGGGTTACACTCTCCTCTCTATGCATCGATTCTGTCATATTTCCCTTTAATCAAGGCTATATAAAAATGATATTTTATTTCACATTCCTTCTCTCAACTAAAAAGAGACATATATATTTCTATTCCACACATGAGCATTTGTACACAACCAGGATGTCTATGGCTAAAGATCTTGCCTCTTCATATTCCTCAGGAATATTCAGGATACTAAAAACATAAATGAGAAAATGTGAGCGCACAAGAAGCCAGTAGATGACCAGAAGAGGGATGAGTAATACACAGTAGTTTAGAGCTGTTCATGTCAAAAGAGCTGGGTTTTTGATGGAGAGAAGAAATGGCAGTACAGAGAGATAGATGGGTTGAGGGAGACAAAAACTAGCAACTGAGGAACTATTATTTCCTAATAACAGAGGAAGCACTGTTATTAGGAAATAACTGGGTTTCCCTTAGCACAGGAAGTTGAAAAAAACACATTCAAAGAGATGGACCTTGAATTCCAGAAAGCATCGTGAAAGGGCTTCAAAGGATGGTTGAGAACTGCATACGTAAACTCTGACTGAAATAAACAGCTGGCAGTCTTGGTGGGCTCCCGGAGGAAGGTGGGTGATTAGTTCAAATTATAATGCAGAATATTTCTCTGAAAACCACTTGACATGGTTTCCTCCTGCAGCTCAAGCCAGGGATCAGCCTAGAAGATGGATGACGGCCTCCTCAGAGGTCTATTATCCTAGCTTGCCTGGGGCAAGAAATGTGAAGATCTGTACACAGATCTCTGGGTTTGAGATGAAGTGGTACCCTTCCTACAGGTATTTACTCTTGAAGATCAATCTCAAAGTCTTTTAAGATGAAAAAGAAGGCCTATTTGAAGAAAGAATTCCAGAGACTATGACACAGTTATGGGAAAACGTTTTTTGTTTTTTGTTTTGTTTTTCAGAGAATGCCTGCTCAGCAATACAGGAAGCATCAACAACTCTGCTTACCAATAATTAATGCTCAGAAAATAACACCTGACAGGCATGCAGGCAGCTAACTGCCCATTTTCTTAAAGCAGTTTTGGCGAAGCCAGAAGATATTAGTCATGGAGAGTTTCCACACAAATGATCAGCAGGTGAGGATACCTGGCATAACGAAAGTCATGCAATACTAACAACAAACCCCTTCTTTAAGAAAAACACGTGACAAGAGAAAGATGATGGAAGTGTCCGTATTGCTGTTCTATTTAGCCACTGCCATTTGTGGGTCACCCTACCTTCATGTTCAACCACTCTTGGGGAAGTCTCTACCCAAGGGTGACCGATGATTCAGTCCTATCCCCTGGATGCAGCAAATCTGTTCCAGAGCCCCCAAACGTTGCTTTGACTAACTATGCAAAAAGGGACTATTGTATCACAGAATTATGTGTAAGCCACTATCCTATGAAAATAGGACAAACAATCCCTTTTTACACAAATATACCCTTCATTCTTCCCTTGTCTTTCCAGAAACAGCAAGGAAGAAATACATAATCCTTAAAATTAAATTACAAGGTGCGGAGACAGTCCATAAATCTAACTCAGAAGAGACTAATAACATCTTCCTTATGAAACCAAGATGAAGTAATTGTGCAGATACACTCACCTTTCATAGAAATGGGTATCCAGAAGAATCCTAACTGGTCTCCCACTCACATATAGAACCACCAAGACGGGCTGAGGCACTTTGGTATAAGGAAGAAAGCATGGACTTGAATGTCAAATCTGAGTTCAAATCCTGGCTCCAACTACTTTCTAGCCTCACCTCACTGAGATTCAATGTCTTTGTACAAATGTTATGAGGATTAAATGAGATAACATAACCTCAATATTCTTAAAACAATAAATCACTAAGTGCTCAAGACGAATGGAATCAGGCTTAGGGACTCACTGTATGTAAAGAGGACTAGCTGGGTTAAGTATGGGGAGATTCTAAGTGTTCCTAGATGGATTTTGAGCTAGACTTAAAAGTTTAAAATACTGGTTGAAAATGGGCTAAGGCCTCAGATGGCTGGACATAAAGAAAGGCAGAGGAAGCTAGTGAGCATCTGCAGTATCGACTGTTTCGTATCCCTTCCTTCTTCTGGCAAAGGCTTTTTCTCCATGATAAAACGAGGAAGGAACCAGGTGAGAAATCCCCGGCTCCTTTCCTCACTTCCTGACTTTGAGGGAGCTGCGTGAAGAACGAGCTTGCAGCTGTGGCTGCCATCTCACAACCATGAAGTTGCAAAAAAAGAAAGCCAATATGCTGAAAATTATGGAGTTAAGATGGAAGTTTGAAGAACTGCTGAATTGCCAAAACCAAATTTGGAACGGCTTACCTCTAGACGTTCCCTTAAGTAAACAATGTTCTTAAGGTTGAAGCCAGTTGGTATTGTGTGCATTACATCTGAATATATCCTAAATGCTACCTCAGGTAAAACTTTCCTTGAATCACTCTTGCTAAGTGTTTAGAAACACAGCTGTGATGTCCTATACTTAAGCAATTATTATTTACCACATGCCAGGCTTGTTACAGATTACATGTACTATCTCATTTAATCCTCACAACAACCCTGTGAGGTATGTAGTTTATTCTCTTTTTACAGCTATGTCTGAGGCAAAGAGCAGTTAAGTGACTTGTCCCAAATTGACAGGCTAGTGTATGGCAAATCTGGGATTAGAATACATGTGTCTTTGACCCCAAAGTCTATACTTTTAGCTACTAAACACTACCTGTGAAGGCAGAGTCTTTCCCTAGTTTCAGATTATGCTGATCGTATCTCTTTAAAGGCAATTGTTTCAATTTCATAAGGATCCTTTTTTTTTTTTTCCTGGTTTTGTATACATATATTGAAAAGATGAAGCCTAGGTGGTTCTCTATTATCTGCAGATCCTTCTACAACTGTGGGAAAGGAGGACATAGGAAATTTTACTGTGTTCTTGTAACCTAACAGTGATTGAGCAAGTAGATTAAACATTTTGTTGACAACTATAAAGTCTGCTTATTTTAAAGCTGTAAAAGGCCAATGACTGGTGTTTATGATTTTACAAAACAGGGTAAAGGCTCTAAAAGTGTAGTTTCACTGTTACTAGGTATTCCAGGACTTTAGAGTCTGTTCTATGAGCCTTTCCTAACATAGCATAAATGAGCATGTATTCATTGCATTAAAAAAATACTGTACTTTTTTCCTAAATATAAAATTAGTACATTCATGTTGTAGAAAAATCTAAAGAACATAGAAAAGTATAAAAAAGAAAATAGAAATCACCTACAATCCTATCACCCAGAGACAGTCACTGTTAACATTTTGGTTTTTGTTTCAATTTCATAAGGATCCTTTTTTTTTTTTCCTGGTTTTGTATACATATATTGAAAAGATGAAGCCTAGGTGGTTCTCTATTATCTGCAGATCCTTCTACAACTGTGGGAAAGGAGGACATAGGAAATTTTACTGTGTTCTTGTAACCTAACAGTGATTGAGCAAGTAGATTAAACATTTTGTTGACAACTATAAAGTCTGCTTATTTTAAAGCTGTAAAAGGCCAATGACTGGTGTTTATGATTTTACAAAACAGGGTAAAGGCTCTAAAAGTGTAGTTTCACTGTTACTAGGTATTCCAGGACTTTAGAGTCTGTTCTATGAGCCTTTCCTAACATAGCATAAATGAGCATGTATTCATTGCATTAAAAAAATACTGTACTTTTTTCCTAAATATAAAATTAGTACATTCATGTTGTAGAAAAATCTAAAGAACATAGAAAAGTATAAAAAAGAAAATAGAAATCACCTACAATCCTATCACCCAGAGACAGTCACTGTTAACATTTTGGTTTGGTATTATTTCATTCACATTTTTTTCGTACACATAAATGTTTTTTAAAACTTGGATAATATTTCATTGTTTTTTCTTTTATCTTCCGTTATACCCAACTCATTCCCCCATGGCCTTAAATAGTCTTTAAAAATGTTACAATGGCTGCAAAGCCATTATAGGAACAGACCATCAATCATTTAAATCCTGTACTGTTGAAAACCTAGTTTTCTTCTTTCAAATATATACCATGCTGCATGAATATCTCTTTTTGTTAATCTGTATCTATTTCTGATTATTTTCTCTGTATGGGTTCTTAAAAATAGAATTAACGTTGATGACACTAAAAAATTGCTTTTCTGAAAAGTAGCAATTAGTCCTACTACCAACAATACATTTATGAGGTTTCTTTCTCCTCGTTGTGTTTTCTCTGGTGTTGAATGAGTTGTGAACTATAACGATAGGCTTTCCCACACTCACCACATTTATAGGGTTTCTCCTTAGTGTGGGTTCTCAAATGTAGAATAACTTGAGAGGTCTGCCTAAAGGTTTTTCCACATTCGTTACATTTATAAGGTTTCTCTCCAGTGTGAACTCTCTGGTGGTCAATAAGGTTTCGGTTAGAAGTAAAAGCTTTCCCACACTCATTACATTTGTAAGGTTTCTCTCTACGATGAAGTCTCTGATGCTCATTAAGGGTCTTCTTTAAGATGAAAGCTTTTCCGCACTCATTGCATTCATAAGGCTTCTCCCCTGTGTGAATTCTCTGATGGTCCATAATCTTTGTATTAGAAACACATGTTTTCCCACACTCCTTACATTTGTAAACCTTTTTTCCTTTGTGCATTCTCTGATGTTGAGTAAGGTTGGAGCTACGGCTGAAGGCTTTCCCACACTCAATGCATGTGTATGGCTTCTCCCCTGTATGAACTCTGTGATGTGAAATAAGACCTGAACTTCGACTGAAAGCTTTCCCACACTCTTTGCATTCATAAGTTTTCTCCCCACTGTGGATTCCCTGGTGCCGAATGAGGTGCGACTTACCACTGAAAGATTTCCCACATTCACTGCACGTGTAGGGCTTCAGTCCAGTGTGGATCCGCCGATGAACAACAAGGTTGGAGCTATGACTGAAGGCTTTTCCACACTCCTTACACTTATAGGGTTTCTCTCCTGTGTGGATTCGCTCATGCACCGTGAGGTTTGCACTCTGACTAAAAGCTTTCCCACACTCAGTACATACGTACTGTCTCTTTTCCTCTTGAATTCTCTCATTTATTGTAGGCCCAGAGCACTGACTACCATCTTTTTCAGAGTCCTGATCATTCAGTTCTGTGAGTGTTTTATTGTCTTTAACTGTCTTATGCTTGAAGTTTCTTGTCTTTCTCCTCATTTTCTCTTGCCTGGAGCATTCCAGTGGCCTCTTGAGTCTTCTCTTTCCCGCAAGTGGAGCTTTCTAAATTTGACTTCCTTGGCAACACCTCCGTGGAGTTCTCTTGAAAGTATGAGATTCTGATCTTCCAGGAGAGCTGCTTTAGAATCAACACCTCCTCAGTCTCAGTTTCACCATCTGACAGGAGAGACAGAAATTGTACATGTCACCTGTTCTCTATACTAGCGGAAGGAGAATTATCCAAGGATAACAAGATGTGGTAAACCACAGGGTCTCACATGGATGAATAAGTGTTCAAAGGCAGGAGGAATTGATCAAAAAAGATGAGGAAAATGAGGATCAATATAAAGGCCAAGGTAAAAGCTCATGGAAAGCCAGGGCCTAACAGCAGCCCAGCAGGTCCAGCATCAGAATGAGCAATGAATAACATAAAATCCACCCTGGTTTCTTCTTGTCTCATGCTCTACCCCCAGAACTGGAGGCACCTAACTCCTAATCTGGTCCCTAGAAAAAATGAATTGAAAGATCCTTAGTTCAGTAGCTCAAATGACTAATCTTCAGATCACTTTGGCTTTTAGTTTCTTGCTGACCTATTTCCCTAGGCCCAGTGATAAAGTGGCTGGCACAAAATCGGTGCTCAAGAATTGTTTTATAGAACAGCAACTGGGATTCTGTCTTGGGATACAACAAAGATTTCATTTTTTGCTCTAATGCAGGTACTAGGCCCCTGTCTACATCCCTGTTCTTAGGCGCCGTCTTGATAAGGGGCAACGCAATTCTTCCAGTATTGGAGTCTAGTCACATCATAGCCTACTCTGTAGGGGATGATCTGTAGGATCCAGCCATATGTGCTAGTTCGGTCTGTCTGCTTTTCAGTAAACTATCACTCTGATAGACTGAGACTACTAGGTGAACTGGAGAGGCTGACAGGGGAACAGAATTAGTTAATGAATGGCAGGAGAATCTCTGAGAGGACCTCTTTGCATGGCATAATGGTAAGGTACTAAAGATGGCAAAAGGGTGAGAGTAGGACACAGCACAACCATGAGGGGTGGATCATGAAACCAATGTCAGCAATGAGCAGGAATTTCATTACTGTTTTGACATGAAACTTCATATGTATAGACAACACTAGCAGACCTCGGATCTAAAGTGGGTTGGGTAATAAAAGAAAACGGAAAGAGGACCCCATGGTACTAACACATGATTAATTTTCCTTTACTATGTTCCTTTTCAGACCTGTCCATATTCATAGTTATATAGTTATAAATACATAGTAGATATAATTTTGCATCCTACTTCTTCCACATTGCTATTTAATCTTTATATAATTATAACTGTGTCATTTACCACCAATTGAATTCATTTTCATTTCTCTACAATTTTGCTAATGTTAGATATTTCTGTTTTTCCCTGAGGTTTAACCACTATCAATGCTGTCATGATCACTTTATACATATGGTTTTCTTCCTACTGAAATATAGTCCTAGGATAAAAGTTCCACAAGTGAGTTATTGGGTCAGGAGGAATGAAATTGTTTTGCTGTACTACCTACTACTTTTCGAAAAGGTCTGACTAATTTCCATTGTCTCATAGCTTTCTGAGAAAGTTAGTCACTCTCTCCAAAGGAGGAGCACAGCCAGTGGCAAATATTCAAGACCAGCAAGAAGAGAAGAGAACTGTGGAAATTAGAGTTCACATATCAGAAGTTTGAGTGCCACTGATGCCGCGGGCAGGTACATATATACAGACTCATGCCCAAGATACAGAGGGTAGGCAGAGAAAATAGTAGATGAGGGTGGATTCTTGCCGGGATCCTGGGCGCACTGACATCTAGCTACTGCCACCTCCCTTAATCAAATAGGAGGAAGCAGGCGGCGAAACTTCAGTGAGAAGCCAGGGAACTGCAGAGTAGAGTGGGATAGCAAGTAAAGCCCCTTCCTGAGTTCTCTCCAAGAATGTCGATGGTCCTTTTTGAGTTTCTTCTCTATTTTTAATATCTGAAACTTCCTCTTTTCTTCTTTCATTTCTTAAACTTGTAATTCTACCCTGTACATATCTCTGTTCTGGGTCTAAGATAGGAAAGATTTTTAAAAGTATTGTTGCCGAAAAGTAGAAAATAACTATTTGTAGTATGAATAAATGGCTGAATGAACAGTGGGTAAGTTAATATATTTATTGTTATGAAGGCCTCCCATTTTACTGGCAAATTGTCTTCTGCTAACTTGTATTATTTTTTAATTTTTCATTTTACAGTATTATTTATGAAAAGTTGGGAAATTATTTTAGAGGAACGGATTCTCATAATTGCTAGAACAAAGCACGTTAGAGATTCAGAAAGAGCCAGTGCCTTGAAGCTAGCCCCGATGTCTCATTCTCAGGCATTGCTGATCTGAAGTTCTTCAGCTAGTATAGTAACTATTCCATCCTTAAAGTCTGCTACAGAGAAGAGTAGTTTTGCAGCCTTCCAGGAAAATGTGTCCAGAGAAAATGTTAGTAGTCGGGTATTTACACAGCTCTGTCACAAGCAATAAATACCATTATTGAATGCAAAAACAAAAGAGCTGTTATGTACTGAATATGTCCCCCGAAAATTCATATGTTGAAGCCCTAACTCCTAATGTGAGTCTATTTGGAGATGTGACCTCTAAGGAGGTAATAAAGGTTAAATGAGGTCATAAGGGTGGAGCCCTGATCTAATAGGATTAGTGTATCCTTAAAAGAAGACATATCAGAGAGCTCCATTTTGCTCGTACTCCTGCTCCTCCCCCAAAACGCACAAACTGAGGAAAGCCATGTGACCACACAGCAAGAAGTGGCCATCAACAAGGCAAGAAGAGTCCCTACCAGAAATGTAATTGGCTGGTCACCTGGATCTTGGACTTATAGCTTCCAGAACTGTGAGAAAATAAATGTCTGCTGTTTTAATTTCCACCCAGTCTATGATATTTTGTATGGCAGCTGAGCAGATTAATAATACAGCATGAAATATCATATCAACATTTAGGAGCGTAATTACAATGGAGTAAATGGCAAAACAATAATGGAGCAAATTACAAATCTACAAAGTATCCAATCAGGAGATGAAAGGAGCCAGGGGAGAGAGTGCTTACTGGGGCTTAGAATGCTTGGGGAAAGGTGCTTAAAAAAGGCAAAACTTTGGCTAAGCCCCAGAGGACAAGTAGGAATTGCTTTCTTAAAAAGAAGCTGGCAGAGGGCCGGTGCACTCAGAAATAAGTAGGAAATTATACAATTACGTGAAGCTTCATGAAGGCAGGGATTTTTGTTCATTTTGTTCATCAATGTATTCCTAGCACCTAGCAAGCACTCGAAACATTTTTTGTTGTTGAATGAACAAATGAACAAATGAAATTCTTTAATCAAGTTGTCTGAAGTGACACCAGCCAAAACACTGAAATTATGGGGCAAAAATTGTGGATGTGATTTGATGGTCAATGAGAAACATATTCAGAACAGAGAAGTAAAATCTACCCTTAATTTTTTCCCCACTCTACATTATTTTTTCTACCTTGCTATTCTCTTTTCTGGTCACTTCCCTTCTCATTGTCTTATCAAGAATATAGCTTTTCAAGCATTACCATTCACTTCCCTTAGTCCCTATCTCCACCCCACAACACATTCATGTTTCTCTCAGCTGCATGAACCGGAAATCAAGAAAGAGGCAGCTGGGGGACCCCATGAGGAGTAAATTGAGAGAAATAAAAAGAAAATCCAAGAGATGCCACCTAGGAATCGAGCGATCACGTATCCTGGTTTTCCTAGAACAGCATTGTTTGATACCTGCTAATCCAGTATTATTATTAATGGTGCCCCCTTTAACTCACAAAAGTATCCCAGTTTGGACAATAACTTTTATATCATCCTACCAAAAAGTGAAATTAGGAAAAGAATGCTTTAGGAAGATTAGCCCAGATGGATTAAAGGTGAAAAGAAGGAAAGGGAAAGGAAATGAGCTGAGAGGCGACTTTAGGAATGGAGTACGGGTGACTATTATGGGCCTGCCACTTCCTAGGTGCCTAAAAATATTCGTTGAACAAATGAACGAATCAATGAGAAAATGAGACCCTAGTACAGGGTCTAATGACAGAGCAGAGAACAATGAAGTCTAGCTATTTCCAGGAAAGCATACACACATATCAGACTGAACACAGAGAATGACTGAAGGCAAGAATTCAAGGTAATCAGATGTAGGTGTGAATATTGACAATGGTAGTGTCACTAAGAAAGAGATGTTGTAAAACACTTGAGATAAAAAGAAGAATATTTCAGAAATGCGAATTTGAGAATGGTAAGACAGGAAGTCATGAAAATGTAAGCTTGCTAATATGGAGTTTTGGTTAGAAGGACAAGTAGGAAGAAAGACAAATGCACATGATGTGCTATAAGGAAGCCCAGGGTGATTCTGGGGGACCTGAGGAGGAAGCAAGACTTGTCAGGAGATCAAGGAGGGCTGGTCTGAGGACATTTTTCTCTAAAGGATACCCAACTATTTGCCCTCTGCCCAACTGAGTGGAAAATTCCTCAAAAATTCTGGAAGAATTCCAGGCACTAGGGAGATGGAGTTTTGGCTGGAGAAATAAGAGAGACAGATGAGGCCATAAGGCCAGCAGGACATTAGGGGTATCCAGGCAACTGTGTACACAAGCACAATCTCAAGATAACTGGCAAATGGACGAGGACCAATGAAGCCCCACAGATCTTTCACCCACAAATCCCTGAGATTGATGGGTAAGTGTTCTAATCTCGGGGGCATCACTCATATCAGGCTGTGAGAAACTCACAAAGGGCAAAGTTTTATTAAGAGAGACAGAAAGAGACAGAAAGAGAGAGAGAGAGAGAGAGACAGAGAGAGAGAGAGACAGAGACAGACAGACAGACAGAGATTTTTTACCTAGGAAGGTTGTATTCCTTTGATTCGCCAGCATCACCTGCCTGGTCAGGTCCCTCAGAGCAGTGGTCACATAGTCCTTGGTTATAATTAACTGAAGTGGAGTGAGGAATAAGTGGCAATATCTGAAAATAAATTCCAGAGAGAGATGAGTGAAATGTAAAAAAAGAAAGAAAAAGAAATATCAGGGACTATGTATCTCAGGGAGAGAAAAGCCTAAGCCTTAAGTGTGAAACAAAGGCTGACACCATAACAGC